TGCCCTTCTGTATTCTCTTAGTGTTGCATTCCTTTTGTGATTTAGTAATTTTGTTTTCAACTTGATCATGAGTTTTATTTGATTCAAGACTTTTTAGCTAATTTTACAACTTAACTACTTTAAATTGTATCCCAGTTAAGAGCTACATCAAGTTGTAATTGAAATGTGTTATTAAAAATTACTTGACATAGTTATATCACTGATAATCAGCCCCCTCTTACCTTAATTTGAATAAAACCCCATATAATTTACAGGTATAAAAGATTTAAATTCTGCATGCCGAAACAACAAAAAAAAACCCAAAAACAACTAAAAAAAAAAAAAGAAAAAACCAGCAGCCACATACTTAACTATGTGAATTACATTTTTACTTTATTCTTCATATTGGTCTTTTGATGTTGTCCATAAAAACTTAAGTCTTACGCTGAATCTATACATTTTGCTTTGAGACCAAAATATTGTCAAAAAATTATTAAAACAGAACTTGCGTTTTCAGAATAAGAAAAGGTCTGGGAACGCCCAGAAAGCACGATTTTGCATCATTTGTTCTATAGTTTCTTTGGGCCTTCAGCGGCTTCAAAACCCTTCAAAATTTTTTTGCCTCGCTCCGCTCAGCGTAAATATATTTGGCAATACTTTTAAAAGAGGCTAGTCACAGCCCAACTCTAATACCGTGTATGTATGCAATACATGTATATGCAGTTTGGAATTCAGAAGATTCATTTCTGCAGAGGATGATGATTAATTCTGATTAAATGGTACATTAATGACTTGACTGTACATTTATTATTTATAATAAAAAATGAATTTAAAAATTGTATGTTTTCAAATATTACTAATATAGTTATGAAAATAAATAATCAGTCCCTTGTTTTAATGAAAATGAAAAATCTTGCTTCAACAGTGCAGGAAATAAATAATCTGTCCTCTTAGTTTACAAAAATAAATAACCGATCCAAAACAAATCCTCCTGGCCCCCCCCCCCCCCCCCCCCCCCCCCCCAGAATATTAAATGGTCGTCTCCTTAGTCTTTCCGGGATAGTTAACTCTCTCAAATACCAGATAAATCGCGAGCTTTAATCCAAGAGTTGAATTTCTTTGGCCAGTGTAACCATTTAACATAATATTGCTTGTTTGGTCCTTTGCCTTTTGTTTTGAGGATGTTTTCAACTTTCCATATATCGTCTTCCCGAACATCCACTTTCTGCACTTCTGATTGGTAGAAGGTTCCTGAAATTTCTTCGTCTTGAAAATCAATAAGTCGATAAACTGGAAGCCCACCACGTAATATTCTTTGAGATATTCTAAATATCTCTCCGCTCCATTTCTCATCGTATTCCCTGGTAAAAGGATTTCTTATGTATGTAATCCGAACTTTATCACCGATTTTGAAACGGAAAGGTTTTCGTACATTCTTTGTCTTAGGTTGTAATCTTTTTGGCCAATACATTTTCCACCACAGGTTTGTCTCTTTAGATAGGGTGACTTTATCTGGTGCCATGCCAATCGTTCTATGGAAGGTCTTGTTGTAGCTGTTAGCAAAATTCTGTAAGTTATCCACATAGTCATATGACTGCTTACTGGTGATAAATCTCATAATTTTTGATTTAATAGTCTTGATCACTCTTTCAACGTAATTAGCTTTGATTTCCGTATTTTGTGCAAATAGATGTTGAATATTTCTCTGTTTAAGGAGAGATTCTACTAATCGTGATCTGAATTCTTGTCCTTTATCTGTTCTTATTCTGTTTGGAGATCTTCCTTGTGATAAAACATGTTTCAAAGCATTCGCCACGGATTCACCTTTCTTACTCTTTAAAGGTCTTAGCCATACATATTTGGAAAATATGTCAATCACCACCAATATGAAATTAAATCCACTGTTAAATTTCGAAAATTTAGACATGTCCATTAAATCGACATCCCATTGGTCGTCTATTCCAATAACGATATCTCTGTTCCGCTTAAACGACCTTTTTAAGGGTCTTTGTAAACTGTATGGCTCCTGTCGTTGTAGCCATTCTCGTATTCTATATTTACTGAGAACGAATTTTCCATCTGATCGAACAAATCTGTAAAGTTTATCAGGCCCTGCAAAACTCGCTGGGTTAGCTGGATTGTAATAAATATTTCTCAAGTACTTTTTCCCAAGAGGCCATCTTTACACATGTGATGATGACTATAGAATGATATACAGAGTAAAACTTTCTCATATTTATATAGTTGAGCTTTCATCGTCTACATCCTCTTCATCCTCCTCTTCCCCCTCTTCCTCTCCTTCATCATCAATGCTATCTTCGCTTTCAGAACCATCATCATTTGTTTCGTTATCAATAGCTTCATCTAGATAGCTTTCCAACAAAGGTTTATATTTCCTGACGGCTAATTTAATGGCTTTCACGTAGTCCATGTCATCGTTAATTAGTTTTGTAATCATTTTCATGACTTTGCCGTGCAATTTGCCGTTTTGTAGTTGTAGTAGATACTCAACCAAACTACTATATCTGGACAAAAACTGATCCATATCCTCGTCTTTTAGTTTCCGATTGGCCTTACGTCTTGCATGGTCTTCATTCATGTTACCATCCATGTATTTATCAACTTTTTCTTCCCATATATCTTCATTTGCCTCCCTTACAAGTTCAGCTAATTTTATGAAAGCCGTATCTTCTCCATCTTCTATATCAATTTCGTCTACACGAGACTTCTTTATGGGAATGTCTTCATCCTCTTTTTCCCTTTTTCTTTTTAAATCATTATTTTCCGGGCACCACCTATTCATGTGTCTAGCTAAATCAGGGACGCTTTCAAAGACTACACCACAATCATCACATGAAGGCATGATTTCTTTCTTGTCTGGTAAATACGTCTGCTCACTTTTAAATGATTCTTCAAACTGAGATGGTTCTAGTTCTTTTCTGCTAATATACTCTTCAGAAACACCTTCACCAATCATGTTCTTGTTTTCAAATATATTTAGCTTTAGTCTGTCGTCTTCCGGTGTATTCTGTTTCAGATCAATAAATAGACTCCCATATGGTCGTTGTGTCCCCTCTTTGTACTTATTCATGAATTTCTTTGGATTATTAGGATACATCTGTCTATCAAATATGGCAGGCCCAACTTGATCACGTGGGTTTTTGAAAAAGACTATATACTGGTTATTGATGCTCATGGTTCGACTCTCCTTCCCCTTCGAGAACGCATTTTGCATTATACAAGCTACACTTAGGTTCCTGTGATGGCTGCCCTCCACAAAGAGTTCACAAACATCCTTACTATTGGTGGCGTCTCTCATTAAATCGTCTAGGATTATTAAACTTGGATATCTAGAGTCAATGAATGAGTCATCATTCAAATTTTCAGGTAAACCTTGAACAAACAAAATGTTTTTAATGGTTTGTTGCATTTCACTAAATAATGGCTGCCACCGTTTATAACACCATATAATCCTCTCAGGTGATGGTTTTATCATAGTCCGTGCTCGCTTCAATAATGTTTTCATCCAAAACGTCTTACCTGAACCAGTAGGTCCAGCCAACATCATAGTGAATGGATGATGTAGTACCACATTCTCCGGCGGCGGCGGCGGCGGCGGCGGCGGTGGCGGCGGCAGCGGCGGTGGTGGTGGTGGCGGCGGCGGAGGTGGATATGCATCATTGGTCTGCGGATATGGTTGACTAATTCTGTGTTTGTTTCTTTGGTGTCGCAACATAACATCTTTTCTCGAAAATTCTGTACCACAATCTGGACAAGTAGTAGACATCTTTGAGAGCTCTTAAAACACGTCCACTACCTTCCAATGACAGACGTAGAGTGATTGAAATATGGACATAAACATCATAATTATATTCTCCAATGTCCATAGGCTAAACTTTGTATCCCATCATCTAGTAAGTATCTTTTGTCATCATAAGGGGATAAGCCAAGTTTGTTGATGGATATATTATATAACTTGTGGTCGTATGAACGGATCTGTGTCATGGTAGACATGTGGTAAACAAAGGTTTATTCAACAACGAAATCAACAAACTTGGCTTATCCCCTTATGATGACAAAAGATACTTACTAGATGATGGGATACAAAGTTTAGCCTATGGACATTGGAGAATATAATTATGATGTTTATGTCCATATTTCAATCACTCTACGTCTGTCATTGGAAGGTAGTGGACGTGTTTTAAGAGCTCTCAAAGATGTCTACTACTTGTCCAGATTGTGGTACAGAATTTTCGAGAAAAGATGTTATGTTGCGACACCAAAGAAACAAACACAGAATTAGTCAACCATATCCGCAGACCAATGATGCATATCCACCTCCGCCGCCGCCACCACCACCACCGCCGCTGCCGCCGCCACCGCCACCACCGCCGCCGCCAGAGAATGTGGTACTACATCATCCATTCACTATGATGTTGGCTGGACCTACTGGTTCAGGTAAGACGTTTTGGATGAAAACATTATTGAAGCGAGCACGGACTATGATAAAACCATCACCTGAGAGGATTATATGGTGTTATAAACGGTGGCAGCCATTATTTAGTGAAATGCAACAAACCATTAAAAACATTTTGTTTGTTCAATGTTTACCTGAAAATTTGAATGATGACTCATTCATTGACTCTAGATATCCAAGTTTAATAATCCTAGACGATTTAATGAGAGACGCCACCAATAGTAAGGATGTTTGTGAACTCTTTGTGGAGGGCAGCCATCACAGGAACCTAAGTGTAGCTTGTATAATGCAAAATGCGTTCTCGAAGGGGAAGGAGAGTCGAACCATGAGCATCAATAGCCAGTATATAGTCCTTTTCAAAAACCCACGTGATCAAGTTGGGCCAGCCATATTTGATAGACAGATGTATCCAAATAATCCAAAGAAATTCATGAATAAGTACAAAGAGGGGACACAACGACCATATGGGAGTCTATTTATTGATCTGAAACAGAATACACCGGAAGACGACAGACTAAAGCTAAATATATTTGAAAACAAGAACATGATTGGTGAAGGTGTTTCTGAAGAGTATATTAGCAGAAAAGAACTAGAACCATCTCAGTTTGAAGAATCATTTCAAAGTGAGCAGACGTATTTACCAGACAAGAAAGAAATCATGCCTTCATGTGATGATTGTGGTGTAGTCTTTGAAAGCGTCCCTGATTTAGCTAGACACATGAATAGGTGGTGCCCGGAAAATAATGATTTAAAAAGAAAAAGGGAAAAAGAGGATGAAGACATTCCCATAAAGAAGTCTCGTGTAGACGAAATTGATATAGAAGATGGAGAAGATACGGCTTTCATAAAATTGACTGAACTTGCAAGGGAGGCAAATGAAGATATATGGGAAGAAAAAGTTGATAAATACATGGATGGTAACATGAATGAAGACCATGCAAGACGTAAGGCCAATCGGAAACTAAAAAACGAGGATATGGATCAGTTTTTGTCCAGATATAGTAGTTTGGTTGAGTATCTACTACAACTACAAAACGGCAAATTGCACGGCAAAGTCATGAAAATGATTACAAAACTAATTAACGATGACATGGACTACGAGAAAGCCATTAAATTAGCCGTCAGGAAATATAAACCTTTGTTGGAAAGCTATCTAGATGAAGCTATTGATAACGAAACAAATGATGATGGTTCTGAAAGCGAAGATAGCATTGATGATGAAGGAGAGGAAGAGGGGGAAGAGGAGGATGAAGAGGATGTAGACGATGAAAGCTCAACTATATAAATATGAGAACGTTTTACTCTGTATATCATTCTATAGTCATCATCACATGTGTAAAGATGGCCTCTTGGGAAAAAGTACTTGAGAAATATTTATTACAATCCAGCTAACCCAGCGAGTTTTGCAGGGCCTGATAAACTTTACAGATTTGTTCGATCAGATGGAAAATTCGTTCTCAGTAAATATAGAATACGAAAATGGCCACAACGACAGGAGCCATACAGTTTACAAAGACCCTTAAAAAGGTCGTTTAAGCGGAACAGAGTTATCGTTATTGGAATAGACGACCAATGGGATGTCGATTTAATGGACATGTCTAAATTTTCGAAATTTAACAGTGGATTTAATTTCATATTGGTGGTGATTGACATATTTTCCAAATATGTATGGCTAAGACCTTTAAAGAGTAAGAAAGGTGAATCCGTGGCGAATGCTTTGAAACATGTTTTATCACAAGGAAGATCTCCAAACAGAATAAGAACAGATAAAGGACAAGAATTCAGATCACGATTAGTAGAATCTCTCCTTAAACAGAGAAATATTCAACATCTATTTGCACAAAATACGGAAATCAAAGCTAATAACGTTGAAAGAGTGATCAAGACTATTAAATCAAAAATTATGAGATTTATCACCAGTAAGCAGTCATATGACTATGTGGATAACTTACAGAATTTTGCTAACAGCTACAACAAGACCTTCCATAGAACGATTGGCATGGCACCAGATAAAGTCACCCTATCTAAAGAGACAAACCTGTGGTGGAAAATGTATTGGCCAAAAAGATTACAACCTAAGACAAAGAATGTACGAAAACCTTTCCGTTTCAAAATCGGTGATAAAGTTCGGATTACATACATAAGAAATCCTTTTACCAGGGAATACGATGAGAAATGGAGCGGAGAGATATTTAGAATATCTCAAAGAATATTACGTGGTGGGCTTCCAGTTTATCGACTTATTGATTTTCAAGACGAAGAAATTTCAGGAACCTTCTACCAATCAGAAGTGCAGAAAGTGGATGTTCGGGAAGACGATATATGGAAAGTTGAAAACATCCTCAAAACAAAAGGCAAAGGACCAAACAAGCAATATTATGTTAAATGGTTACACTGGCCAAAGAAATTCAACTCTTGGATTAAAGCTCGCGATTTATCTGGTATTTGAGAGAGTTAACTATCCCGGAAAGACTAACTGCAAGTCTCGACAGTTTACACCCCTGCACGAAATATGGCATACTGTTGGTCCTTTCGTGAGGTTAGAGATACTGTTGAGTGATATGCAACTCTCTATTTCTTTTTATCTCGATGTATAAAATAATTATAGATAATTTTATTATGTTTTATATATATTGTAAAGACAACATGTGGATGGCTCCCCGACCCATGTCTGTCTGAATTGACGGGATATTAAATATTGTACAAATTATTGTTGTTATCATTACTAGTGTGGTACCGAGAAGCAGAAACTTAAAAAAAAAAAAAAAAATAGGAATACAATCACACAAAAGGAGAATCATATTGGATAATTCCTTGCTCATATTTGTATGGATTAAACCTTGAATCGATACACACAAACACACACACAAACATACACAAACACTAACAATGATAAACACCGGTGCATCGTTTATCAATAAAACCAATTGAAAGTTAAAACACGCTATCGATATTGATTGAATAATTATATTATAAAATTCGAGATTAAATACCTTTCAAAATTTGACCCCAGAAATAGTTAGATGTAAAATACTATTTTGTTCCATTAATGTAACGAGTTACTTATATTAAAAAGACCGACGCGATCATGTTACAAACAAATATATATTTGATACACACTTAGATGGGTTTACCTGTATATCTATTAATAGACTGGGGATTTTCATATATCAAATTAAAATAATAATAAAAATCATATACTTATGCATAATTAACACAAACGTAATTAGAAACACTTTATAATGAGTTTATCCTCCAAAGAAAATAATTAATTTAACTAATTAATGTCATAATACCTAAAAATGTCGTCATAGAAATAGCCTCACATCGGGGGGCTACCTCTCGGGAGGATACCTTTTCCCCATAGGGTTAACCTTAGACAAAGTGGCCCAGAACCCCCACTTCCCCCACTACTGCTTAAAGTGAGAGGACGTATTTGTGAATTCAGGGAACTTTATTTGGATATATATATATAAAAATGAGGAGATGTGGTATAATTGCCAATGAGACATGCAGCTATCCAACGGTTAAAATGAAGTGGTAGTAAGCAACTATAGGCCACCATACGACCTTCAACAGAGTTAAAATGAAGTGGTATACGTAGTAAGCAATTATAGGCCACCGTACGGCCTTCAACAGAGTTAAAATGAAGCGGTAGTAAGCAATTAAAGACCACCGTGTGGCCTTCAACAATGAGAAAAACTCATACTGTATAGTCAGCTATAAAAGGGTCAATATGAAAAATGTTAAACAATTCAACGAGAAAACTAACGGCCTGATTTATAACAAAACAATTTATGAAAAACAAATATATGTATGACGGACCTGAACCACAGACAACCACTGTACTACAGGATCCTAACTTGGGACAGGCAAATAAAGAATGTGACAGGGTTAAACATGTTTGCTAGCGCTCAACCCTCCTTTAACCTGGGACACAACATAAGAACAAACTGTACAACTCAGTTGCAGTTTGCAACTCAAAAGATCGGTAAGAGGCACTAAAACAAAGGACACCAAGTTTGAGCTTTCTAAAAAGCTGTGGACTGCTTCGCTCTATCCTAATTTAATGGGTAATATGTGTGCATGTGCTTGTTGATTTAGTATTTGGAAATGTGGTATTTTTAGATATTGATTGATATGAAATGGATTTACTTTAAGAGTGTGCGTTATACACCCATGCTTTTAAAATTTTGTTGTCTTTACTAGTTGAAAATTAAAACATTTACAAATAGACACGACTCTGGAGGTGTGCTTAGATTGGCAGAAGTTATAAAATACAGATAATGCATTTTTGTAAACATCGTATAGGAACATTGTTTAGCAAAACAAATCGTAAAAATTGCAGATTAACAAAGCAAATAATCACGTATTAATAATTGATATTTCAATATTGAATTTCAGTGTGCAATGTCATTTATTCATGTTCGTTTTATTATGCATACATTACACACTGAAACGAACATGAATTAATGATCAACTGTCATTAATTCATGTTCGTTTCAGTGTGCAATGTATGCATAATAAAACGAACATGAATTAATGACAGTTGATCGGAACTGAAATACACATAGTTAATTTTCCGGCATTTGATGTCTTATCCTGAGACGAGAAAAGTCTGTAATTCTTTATCTCATTTAAGCCAATAGCTGTTGCTGTATCTCAGCCGCATCATAAAGCAACCAATCAGAATCTAAAATGTGATAAGTAATTATTTCAAGATGGCGTGTATGTCGACTGAAACTAATAGCTCGGCACCGTGATGCGAAGCAAAAAGCACCGAAAAAAGGAGTACTCGAAGTTACTGAAAGCTAGTTCAATGCCAATTACAATTAGAATATAGCAAAGTGCTCTCGACCAATGAAATTGTAGGATTTGATGACTCTAAATTGTGAAGAATGAATGTTAATCATGTTCTTAGTAAGGGATTATCCTATTGTTTAGGGGGGCCTCGGTGGCCGAGTGGTCTAAGTAGCTACTACTGTAATCACTAGCCAGTCAACACTGAGGTTGTGAGTTCGAACCCCGCTCGTGCGGGTGCACTCGACTCCAATCTTAATTGACTAGGATTGTCAGTTTCCCTATCGAAGGTCGGTGGTTTTCTCCGGGCAATCCAGGTTCCTCCACCAATAAAAACTGGCCGCCACGAAATAGCCCAAAAGCGGTGCTTAAAAGTGGCGTTAAAACACCAAAAATCAAAAATCAAATCCTATTGTTTAGGTCTATTTATAGTTCAAAACAAAGAGTTTATATAAATGATTTACAACTGCCCCGAAGCACATTTATCAGATTTAAGGATTTATCACAGTGATTTAAACTGACTAAAAGTTGAAATGTGAAACAAACAAAAAATCAAAATAAAATAAGTCGAAGTTTACTGGTGCAGTAAAATTTGTACCTTAAATGTTATTATGAAAATATTAATAACTTCAAATTACTAAAAAAAGAAAATAATATCAAAGCAATGCAAAAAAAGAAAAAAGAAAAAGAAAGTTTTAAAATATAAAAAAAATAACCTAAATCTTTAGCTTTCCAAAACTCTCAGTCTGATTACTGAACTAGCGGTTGGGAAGAATAGTTATTTCCAATATTTCGATAAAATAAAAATTAAAAAAACCAGGAATTTGATTTAAGTTTTGAATATATTTAAAACTTTTAAAGACATTTTATTAAAACATTTCCCTGGCATAATGAAATAGAATTTGATTTAAAAAGCTGGGCCAAAATATTGGCTGTGAAATAAAATTAGTTGTAACTCAAAAAATTAATGTATTTATTGATTTAAACTGTAAATAAAAAAAGGATAATTCCTCACTAAAATATATTACAGGCCATAATCTTGCCGGCGAAATGATGATTTAAGTCGCCAAAGAATTTTGAAAATCGCTAAATCTCGCCAGCCGACTGACTTCATGGCGAAGTCAAATCGCTATGAAAATCGGTAAAAGGGAGACAACTTGTGAATTACAAGTCTCCCAGGTAAAAAAAAATGGCGACTGACAAGGAAACTCGAGATTTTTCGAAACGTCCCAGGACTTATACTGTCGACGATCAAATTAAATAAATACAACGGCGACTTTGAACATCCTCGGATATAACATTCAAAACTATTCAAACGGAAAACTGACCGTCTGTTAAAGCAGAGACATATAATACAGTATTATATGTCTCTGGTTAAAGTTATGATTTTACGATGATTTTTATCTGAGGATGTTGCGTAATCACTCAGCTAATTTGTTTTCTTTTTATTTATTACGAGTCGATCAAATTGTACTATTCGGTAGG